ACAAATACTAGCCCCACCCACCCGCCTTTTATTTTCTGAGAGGGTATGTCATCTGCCGAAGTCAGTTTTATCTTAGCAAGTACTAGTCCCGTCCACCTGCCCTTTATTTTCTTAAAGGGTAGGTATGTAATCTGCTGAAATCAGTTTTATCTTAACAAATACTAGCCCTGCCCACCTGCCCTTTATTTTATTAGAGGATATGTCATTTGACAAAATTAGTCTTATCTTGGCAAATCCTAGCCCCGCCCACCCGCTCTTTATTTTCTTAAAGGGTATGTCATCTGCTGAAATTTTGTTTTATCTTAGCAAATAGTATCCCCGCCCACCAACCCTTTATTTTATTAGAGGGTATGTCAATGCAAAATCAGTCTTAACTTGACTAATACTAGCCCCACCCACCCGCCTTTTATTTTCTGAGGGGGTATGTCATCTACCGAAATCAGTTTTATCTTAGCAAGAAGTAGTCCCACCCAACCGCCTTTTATTTTCTTACAGGGTATATCATTTGGCAAGATCAGTCTTATCTTAGCAAGTATTATCCCCGCCCACCCGCTCTTTATTTTCGTAGAGGATACGGCATTCGGCAAAATTAGTCTTATCTTGTAAGTCCTAGTCCCGCCCACCCGCCTTTTATTTTCTTAGAGGGTAGGTTATTTAACAAAATCAATTTTATCTTAGCAAATATTAGCCCCGTTCACTCCTCTTTTATTTTCCTAGAGAGTAGATCATTTGCTAAAATCGGTCGTATCTTAGCAAGTAGTAGCCTCGCCCGCCCGCCCTTTATTTCCTTATAGGGTATGTCATTTGGCAAGATCAGTCTTATCTTAGCAAGTTCTAGCCCCGCCCACCCGCCCTTTATTTTCTTAAAGAGTATATCATCTGCTGAAATTTAGTTTTATCTTAGCAAATGGTATCCCCGCCCACCCACCCTTTATTTTATTAGAGGATATGTCATTTGGCAAAATTAGGCTTATCTTGGCAAATCCTAGCCCCGCCCAACCGCCCTTTATTTTCTTAAGAGAGTATGTCATTGCAAAATCAGTCTTACAAATACTTGCCCCGCCCACCATCCCTTTATTTTCTTATAGGGTATGCCATCTGGCAAGATTAGTCTTACCTTAGCAAGTACTAGTCCCGCCCACCCGCCCTTTATTTTCTTAAAGGGTATGTCATCTGCTGAAATCAGTTTTATCTTAACAAATAGTAGCCGTGCCCACCCGCCCTTTATTTTGTTAGAGGATATGTCATTTAGCAAAATTAGTCTTATCTTGACAAATCCTAGCCCCGTCCACCCGTCCTTTATTTTCTTAGAGGGTATGTCAATGCAAAATCAGTTTTATCTTGACTAATACTAGCCCCACCCCTCCGTCCTTTATTTTCTGAGAAGCTGTCATCTGCCGAAATCAGTTTTATCTTAGCAAGTACTAGTAACTCCCACCCGCCCTTTATTTTCTTACAGGGTATGTCATTTGGCAAGACCAGTCTTATCTTAGCAACTACTATCCCCGCCCACCCGCTCTTTATTTTCGTAGAGGATACGTCATTCGGCAAAATTAGTCTTATCTTGTAAGTGCTAGTCCCACCCCCCCCCGCCTTTTATTTTTTTAGAGGGTAGGTTATTTAACAACATCAGTTTTATCTTAGCAAATATTAGCCCCGCCCACCCCCCCTTTATTTTCTTAGAGGGTATGTCATTTGGCAAAATTAGTCTTATCTGGTCAAATCCTAGCCCTGCCCACCCGTCCTTTATTTTCTTAGAGGGTATGTCAATGCAAAATCAGTCTTATCTTGACAAATACTAGCCCCACCCACCCACCCTTTATTTTCTGAAAGGGTATGTCATCTGCCGAAATCAGTCTTATCTTAGCAGGTACTAGTCCCGCCCACCCGCTCTTTATTTTCGTAGAGGATATGTCATTCGGCAAAATGAGTCTTATCTTGTAAGTCCTAGTCCCGCCCACCCGCCTTTTATTTTCTTAGGGGGTAGGTTATTTAACAAAATCAGTTTTATCTTAGCAAATATTAGCCTCGTCCACTCGTCCTTTATTTTTCTAGAGAGTAGATCATTTGCCAAAATCAGTCGTATCTTGGCAAGTAATAGCCCCGCCCACCCACCCTTTATTTTCTCAGAGGGTATGTCATTTGGCAAAATCAGTTTTATCTTAACAAGTACTAGCCCCACCCACTGCCTTTTTTTTCTTAGAGGGTATGTCATTTGCCAAAATCAGTCGTTTCTTGGTACGTATTAGCCCCGCCCACCTACCTTTTATACTACTCCATGCAGTTTTTTTTCTTACGCCGTGACTGGTATTATCTACATTTTTGCTTCCTGAGCGCAGGCTAAGGACGTATTGTAATAAGTTCTATCGGGCGACTGGCTACTTTCCTAATTTCTCGACGTTTCGTCTCAACTAGAGTACGAAAAAATAGGTCTCCCATTCTATCTGTCTGTCGGTTTGCCGTCTGTGTCAGTTTTTATTAGGCAGATAATCTTCTTCGAAATAACCAAATTTTATTATTTAAGCCATAATTTTGTTTTTATTTTACGGGGGTAAGCTACGGAATTAGTGGAATAGGGTTCATCTGGAGAATGGCTACTTTCATGTTTTCTGGGCGTTTCATTACTTTTACAGTACGAAAAAATATATTTGCTGTTTTTATCCGCCTGTTGTCTGTTATTGAACAAATAATAATCTGTGAAACTACTGGATCGACTATTGTGAAATTTTATACGCATTTTAAGAATTTTTCGTAGTAAACTGGATGTAAATTTTATAAAATAACATACTCTTGTACTTGTGGTTTATGCATCCACCTTGAAGTTTTTCCTGAGGCATCCAAATTTTCGAAAAATGTTAAATTGTGTATGGCAACTTTTTATATACAGGATGAGTCCCTAAGCGCGCGGTTCTCAATATCTCATTAATTATTAGAGATCGAAAGTCAAAAACCGTAGTTGTATGGTTTTTTGAAGACTATGCTCTAAAATTATTTTTAACTATACAGAGTGTTCCGTTTTTAAGGTTTAACTTGTTTATTTAAAGAAAACACCATGCCTACAATTTTTAAATATTCTCATTAGTTTCTTCCTACACTTTGTAACAACAAAGAGTAAAATTTTTGACAATGGAGGGGATCATAAAAAATCGCAATAGGGTTATTTTGAAAATCTGTGTTACAATATTTTGTAGAAAGATAAATAAAAATACGCGTTTCGTTGTTGTGCGAAATAAATAAAATTTTAATACACAGTTTATAAGAAAATACTGAAACTTTACTATCTTGAAATATCGATATTTCAATTTTTTCAAATATAACATCCTGCATTTTATTATTATATCTTACTCTATTTTTTTTCATTCTTCCAATATGTCAATATGTTTTTTAAAAAAGTAAAATATTGGAATATCTATTAACTTTCAACATGGAAAATATTTAAGAAAAATACGGACCAAAAAGTAGAATAAAATGCTGAAATATCGATCTATGTGAATTGTTAAAATAAAAAAAAATCATACACACTCTATATATGAAGATTTTATTTTATTTGTACCATAACACAGCACGTACCTTTATTTATCTCTCCACATAATTGTAGACATTAAATATAACCCTACTGCGATTTTTTCTAAATCAAAAGATTTCAAGAAAATTGGAATGACATGACAACGTCGCATCGGAATTTGAAAGATAAACTGTTGGTTATAGAGCCTAAAAAGAGATCCAACAATATATACATATAAATATATAGGGTGTTTTACTAAAAAACTAAGTTGTGTATTACGCTTTAATGATTCAGCCTCTATATAATAATAAAAACGGAGCTCGCACAAGTGATTTCCCTGCGATGTCGAATAATCTTGTGCGAGCTCCGCTTATATTCGTATATACAGGGTGAATCACTAAGTAACTTGGAACAAGACGATCGCGAGTTTTTCATGAGATTTTTTTTTTCTTACACTTTTACTACCACTACCTATACCTATATATGTATTGTGAAATGTATAGAGGTTATTACAGATAAAATTTCGTAAAAGCAAGGGATTGTTGAAAGGCTAGGGAAGTTCTGTCGAAATAATCTTCAGCCAATTTTTTTAACTTACAAGCGTTATCATAGAAAATAAAATTTCGCAAAATCAAATTTTAAGAGTTTTTTGAAATAGCAGGATTTGTAGTACTGTTGTACTTCAGGGGTGAACTAAGTTCTATTTAAATAATTCGGATTGTGAGTGTACTATCAGAATTTAGAATTCAAGTTGATCATGAACTGTTTGAATAATTCAAGCTAATAAATTTCTTTAATTCAAGTGTCAATTTTATATATCAAAGAATTTTTGAAAATAGTCTACAATAATTTTTTCATTTCTCTTTGTAGAATTAAGAATTTTTCTATGTATTTTTCTCTATATATGTTAGTGTGGTTTTTGCCATTTTAGTGTAAATTCATTAAAAAGCACTGATTAGCTAGATAATTTAAAGAATTTTGAAATAATACGAACGTTCGCCGCCAGAAGAGCACGATAATAGTATATTATGTAACAAGTTTATAAACGCTTCTTTAGTCACGAGTTTATTTGATCACGGGCGGAGCGAGTATTTAAAGAACGAGTGTCTAGAAAATTTTATGCATATGTTACATATTGTACTTTTTTTACATCTTCAAATTAAAATCATGATCATCGAATCTAAAATTACCGACAGTTTACAATGTTGAAACGAAAGTCTAACCTGAACTGACCTGACCTGACCTGACCTGACCTGATCTGACCTGACCCAACCAACCTGAGCTAACCTGATATGATTTGAATCGATCTGATTTGATTTGACTTACATGAACTTACAATTTGAAAAATGTTCAATTAAGAGAGCACTTGATTTTTTTCAAAGAATACCACCAAAAATGGCATTCCTGAAATCAGTTTTGACTCTGCAAGATAAGTAAGATCGAAATTTGTCATTGCTGTGGTAAAATGTATGTAATGTAGAATTATTATACTTACGGAAAACGAAAATGAGTACCATCCTGGCCACATGTCTTCGGGCATTCGCCTGCGCCACACTCTGCGCCCCTCTAACCTCCCCCGGCATGTTGTTGGCGCTTGCATGCAGACGAATGGCCATCAAAACGTAAAAACAGGCAATGATGCACAGAGGGATGATGTAGTAGATTAGAGCCTTGAGAGCCACATTGTACCTCGTATACGTGTCGACATGGGTAATGTTTGGGAATGGATAGCAGACAAAAATCGTCTTGTTTCTGCAAACACATAACATACAACAGCGCGCTTTAACACACAATAAATTCAACAAAAAAAACCACACACACACCCCAAAAAAACATGTAAGCATTTACTTCGTGGCTCGCTCACTAATCTCTTGTTACTAACAATTTTTTGCGAAAGCGCCAATTAATCCCTTTCATCGAAGATTTAAACCGAAAAATTCAAATTGGTAGCTTTGTCCACGTTTTTTGTCCAGATCGTTAATTAAAATGGTGAAAACGGGAGTTGAGAGCAACGGGTTGTTAAAATCTACCTGTTATGACAGATGCCTGCTGGTCTAATTAGCCCAAGTTCTCGCAAAACCACATGACACCTGCACCTTTCTGTTCCATTAAGCATTTTGAACTTTCGCATCAAAGCAAAACCTGATGCATTATCGATAGAGCACGTAAATTAGGTAAAAGTAGTGCTTTTTTGTGTTGGGGTTGAAGCTGCAGGCGCTTTGAAGCTCTGACTCGAGTTTTATTGGCGGGCGTTTCGTATATAGCACGTCTGGAGCTTCGTTCGCTTATAATAGCTTGTTGCGCTGGTCATTTAAACCATTTATTATTATCCGTTGACGATCTTTATGTAGTAGGGTTGGCCATGAAAATCTAGTGAGTTTGTTGGTATTCGATGTAGAAGAATAAAAATTCCCTGAACGCATTTCGTTAGGTTATGTTGTATTAAATTAAAGGCTAAAAAATATGCCAGAAATATAAACATTGTTGCCGATACTTTCAGTTTTCAGTAGCAATAACCAAGTTAACGGTATCCATTTCTTAGAAAGTATAAAACTTTATGCCATTTAAAACAGTTATTCGGCTTTTTGTAAGTGTTTATTTCATATGTAAGGAACAAACATTAAAATTTCACTTAAACATTGTTTTTCTACGAATGGGGGTTCTACATACGACTATTGTCGCATGCCACATTTAGCATCTCATCTTTAATTCTCAATCATCAGTTCGTTCTGTTCCCCCACTTAGAAATGGAAATTTCGACCTTTGTGAACAGCCTATTTCCATATTTTCCAACTTCTTTTTTCACTTTTCTAAGATTACTAAAAGGGTTGGTAAAAGACAACAACCTTGCTCTAGTGCTTTGATGGGTTTAGCTCTTCTGAAACATTTTTCCGGCCTTAAATTGAATGATTTATCTATATAGCTATTACTAATGCTTACGTAATTGCTCTTTATTTGCTTTTACTAAGTACTACCAAACGTTTATTAATAAGAACGTTACTATACCCCTTCTCCAGGTCCATGAAGAGTTAAAAAAAAAAATAAAATGCTTAAAATTTGGTGCAAAGTAACAACGTGGATGATCTAACTAAAATTATACTTATTTTGTTGTACGTCAGGTAGTTTTTCACATACTACCTTGGTAAATTTAGAACGAAAGATGCGTAAAAATATTACCCCCCGACAAGCTACAATTCACTCTATTTCCATTATTTCGCTATGAAAATCTATATCATCACCGTCATTTTCAAATTCAGATTCTGAATCAGATTGACCTAGCGAAATAATGAAAGGAGGTATAGATTCGTACGAAAGATTTCCCATATTTTTTTCCCAATCTGCCAAAATAAGTTTTTCACAATGTTTACAAAAATTTTGCCACATGCTTGGAGTACATTTAGAAAGCGACTCAAGCCATAAATTCTCCACCCTATTTTTAATGAAGGTTGATAATTTATATGCTTGTTGTAATAGTTCTTACAAAATCCCCACGCCATTTCAATTGGATTATATTCACAATGGTATAGAGGTAATCTAAGAATTTCATTGCCACTTTCTCTTAATGTCTCGTCTACCAAATATATTTTTTTTCTATTGTTTCTGAAGGGTTCAATTAAATCCCACAACTGTCTCTTCGAAAATTTTTTGTCAAGTTCATCACTATATTTAAAGAGCCATTCCTGCATTTCACATTTTTTGCTAGTAAAATTGGGTGGTTTATCCAACTGAACCGAATGATACGGTGCATTGTCTAAAACCACCACACATTTTTGGTTCAACTTTGCCAAAGCAGGAATGAGCTGATTAACCACCCAATTTTGAAAAATTGTCCCGTCCATCGTTTTATGATAGTCTCTATCGTTATTTTTGAATTTAAAAAATTGTTACAACCATCCAAGAACCCCATTGAACAACCCGCGTGGAAAATAGTAAACCTTGATCCTTCACTTTTAATGTTGGTGGGATTGCTTTTTAGATCAGTAGAGAGCGGAAAATATGCAGCAAAATTTTGGGAAATATGATCATATGATATGCATCAAATTTATGCAAATATGCAATAACTTTCTTAATATATGCAGAGATATGCAGTTGCATATGCTCCAAAAATAAAAAAAAAACGTAATAACCGAACTAAATTTATTTACAAATTGCAAAAACACCTTACCTTTTATTACAAAAAATACAAAAATCACATTGCAAAGTGTTTAATTAGATCTCACTGACAAATAAATGACATTTTTTAAGATAATATTCTTATACTAAAAAATAAATATAGGTAAACAGAACGAATTAAAAAATAGTAATAATCGAGTATTTAATTACTATTTTGGTAACAATTTATTTTTAAATATTTTTCGAAATATTCTAACAAAAATTTTTCCGGTGATTCTAAAGTATGTATTTGTAAATAGAAAAACTGCGTACTGCGTCCCCAGATGCAAAAATACTTATCGGATTAGAGCAGGCACAACAAAACACAGTTCCTTCGTGAAGAATAAGTTCAGGAAAAGGTTTAATTCATAAATTAATTTGAGTTATCTACATATTGACACACATCTCTATCGCTTTAAATACTTAAGGCTCCTCCTTACAGTCATTAAAATCTGCCGAAATACGGCAAAACGCCACTTCCAATATCATCCTTACTATAGCACTTGAAGACTTGTGCGACATATCTACTTGTTCGTGATACAAAAATCTTCATGGAAATAGTTTTTTTATTGCATTAAAGGCTTTCGTTTTTTTAATAAAAAATAAAAACAGAAAAACTTATTTTTCTCTTTGAGCCAAAACTATAGCGTATTTTGGCTTAAAAAATCTGACATTGTAGATAATATTATTGCTCACCTGGGACTAATAATTATTTTTTCGTTAAACTATCCATTTTTTAGTTATTGTTGATTAAAGCAAGACCTAAAAAGGGCATTTTTTGTAAATGTAGGCAACCAAACATCTTCTTTCGTCAAGAACGAGCCAAGAAAGTGTATGATTTACGATAGGGGTTGGCCACTATTGAGAGATTACACGGATTTAAAACCCTTGTTGAGAAAATATGCAAATGAGGTGACCGTAGCTGAAGGTTGTGGAATCGTACAATTATGTAGGAGTATTGTATTAATCTAATTTCAGAATAACAAATAAATAACCGAGTTTGGATTTTTTACAAAACTGCCTAACTTATTTCAACAGCTATAATTACTGCTGATCCCAAGTAATTAATAATGATACAATTATAGAAATTAAGTGTGCTTTTTCTGCCTGAAATAAAAGAATTAAAGATGCCATAAAAGACGGTACCATTAAATTTTGTGTCATCAATGAAACTGACGACTCGATTGTACTAAAATATAAGCACGATTACATGTATCAAATGCAAGGACAACTTCATATAACACAAAAAAAATGGTGTTATTTCATCATATATACTGAGGTTGATTTACAATATTTTTTAATTGAAAGAAATGACGATTTTTGGGAGAAAGAAATGGAAAATTATTTGGAAAAATTTTATTTAAAAGCCATGCTCCCAGAAATGATTGATTCACGATGGAGTCGAAATCAGCAGCTTCGTCCTATAATAAAAAAAGATTTATGATTTACAGACCATTATTTATTTTTATATCATTATATTTATTATATTCTATCTCAGTCAAAAAAAAATATATACATTTTAAAATTTAGAAGAGGCTATAATATGTATAAAGATATGTAAGTAATTCAACACATACATTCGATTATTAGTGTCACATATAATCGAATCTTCATAGTGTGCTTTGGAAAAAGTTGTTCTATTCTTTTCTTTCTCAGTGATTGATAATTTTAAAATTTGTCTAATTTATCTCACATTTGGGATCAGCACTAACTATAGCTGTTGAAACAAGTTAGGCAGTTTTGTAAAAAATCTAAACTCGGTTATTTATTTGTTATTCTGAAATTGGATTAATATAATACTTCTACATAATTGTACGATTCCACAACCTTCAGGTAGAACACACTACGGTCACCTCATTTACATACTTTCTCAACAAGGGTTTTAAATCCGTCTAATCTCTCAATAGTGGCCAACCCCTATCGTAAATCATACACTTTCTTGGCTCGTTCTTGACGAAAGAAGATGTTTGGTTGCCTACATTTACAAAAAATGCCCTGTTTAGGTCTTGCTTTAATCAACAATAACTAAAAAATGGATAGCTTAACGAAAAAATAATTATTAGTCCCAGATGAGCAATAATATTATCTACACTGTCAGATTTTTTTAAGCCAAAATACGTTATAGTTTTTGCTCAAAGAGAAAAATAAGTTTTTCTGTTTTTATTTTTTATTAAAAAAACGAAAGCTTTTAATACAATATAAAAACTATTTCCATGAAGATTTTTGTATCACGAACAAGTAGATATGTCGCACAAGTCTTCAAGTGCTATAGTAAGGATGATATTGGAAGTGGCGTTTTGCCGTATTTCGGCAGATTTTAATGACTGTAAGGAGGAGCCTTAAATGCAAACTCACGATGAAAAATAATAGGATAACGTCCCTTCGACCACCATAAAACATACCATTAATACACTTAAGTAACGAACAAAAATATTGAAATGAACGGTAATTCCAAAAGTAATTAGGACCCGAATTTACCTGGAAGGATGGCTTAACACTCAGTGGTTCCTCTAAACTACCATAAAACCCAAACCTTTCCCAGTTATTTGAAGCTCAGGACGATATTTGCAATATGATTCATGAAATTTCGTCTTTCTAGA